AACTCAGTCATCAAAAGCAAAAAATGGGAAAACCGAGAATTTGGTTGGCTTTTGATTCCACAGTTTGGAGGTCCTTAGAAGCGGGATTTCGGAGGCGGACAAAGAAGGAGTAGTGCTTTGTTTTGAGTGCAAAATGGGCAGCTAATTCACCTTTGAAACAAAGTTAATCATGTTGAAAAATGACTATTTCACTTAGGTGGCCCAGTATCTTGAATCTTCAGAAATCGCTCAAACTTTGTCTACAGAGGTTGACTGACATGCTAATTATGGATATGTTGCCCGTTATGTTTGACAGAGCCTTCAAGTAATGATATCTCAGGTCAGTAACGGACCGAGGAGGGGGCGGGGGGCACGAAATTTTTGAAACTTACCTACATTGAGTTATAAAAATGTGCAAATGACTTGTTTATTTTTGTAAATAATTAAAATAATTTTTAGAAATTTTTAAAAATTTAAATTAGCCCTGAAAAAAAAATTTCTCGGGGGCGTGGCTGACGCCACGCCACCTTTTCTAGATTTTAGGGGCCTGGGGCCCGAATAAAATTTTAAGGACCACCCCAAAAAATTTTTCGGAGTGCGTGGTTAACGCCACGCACCTTCATTTGAAAAAATTTTTGCCGCTCCCCCTACCCCTCCTCCGGTCTGAAATTCTGGGACCGTCACTGGCACCTCTGGATATACAGATTTTGTTTGGCACCAGCCACGCCTCCGAAAAAAATTCTCTATGAGGCTAAATTGAATTTTTAAAAAATCTAAAAAATTATTCTAATTATTTACAAGTATAAACAAGTCATTGGCTTTTTATAACGTGAAAAAATATTCTGCGTAAGCGTGCAAGGGCCTATCACGCGCTAAGTTTACCTGAACTTAGAGTTGAACAAACGCCTCTAGAAGTGAAAAGCATCGCTCGACGACATCAAAAATGTCGGCTCTGAACATGTACATCGTTAAAACACAAGAAGTAGCGTTCAACAAATAAAAAAAACACGCTTCAACCTAGAAATGATGTCCCAACTACATGACGCTGAACGACACGATATAATGGCACAACAAAAAGCGAAAGTAACAAAAATAGACGAATTTACAAGGACGAAAGCAAAAATTTGGAAATTCTGCCATCAAGCGGCCTTCGATTGCAGTCTGTCCCAGTTGTAATCAGGCCAAACCGTTCGCGTAATTTCTCGTGCTCGCAGCACTGAGGTTTGCGCTACATATGCATTCCGTCAGAGAAAGCGAAGAGATTGAAGAGAAAGGCGACAAGCAGGCCGTAATTGTGACGCAAGACTAGCCACTCCTCCATGCCAATTGACCTGATTGGGATTGAAAAAGACTGTAGCCCTCTTTCGCATCCCATCATGTGCAGTTAGCAAGGCAGCCGTTATCTTTTTATGAGCGCGAAAAACTTAGTTGAAAACTTGAACAGATCAGATACATTGAAAACTCTCGCGATCTAAAAATGAGCATTGTCGGCAAAGCTGCTAGATTTTACATTGTTTTTATTAGTTTTATTATTAGAAAAATATGCACCAATTCTATCGGAGGGTTCCGATGCAATGCGTAACAGATAGCGCTTGTTACATACAGGGTGCGCCACAATTATTTGCGCGTGTATCATTAAGCACCATACGAACATAAGACCGGCTCAGCCAGCGGTCAAGCTTGATATTGTTTTCTTGGTTCTACAGCATTGTATCTTAATTGAAAGAAGTAAAATTGCCTGTTTCGTTTTTCGGTAAAAATTCATAATATTTCTCTGACTTTGTCGCGTGCTGCAGGGGGTAGAGGCCTACAAACTTCTCCAGTATGTATCTTTTTAGTGATCGCTTTTCTCAGGTGAAGATTTCACCATAAAATAGATCTAGTCTTTGACTTTAAGATCACTAAGATTCGAAATCTCCAGGAGCATTCGGAACAGGAATTTTGACTATTTGATAATTTGCGTCAGCTTGCGTTTTTTCTGTCACGAACATTGCTTTTTGCAATCCTTACTTCTCTAAATGAAGACCGATTTGGGATATTGATAGTGCTTTTTGTAGAGTATGCTTACAGCATTCGTGACATTAAATCCAGACCAAATTTCTCATTGCCATTGTTGTGGCATTACTTTGAATATTTTAGCGCACCCTGTATTTTGCTGGAAATAGAACATGAAAAATTTGCACTGTTTTTTTCTCACATGAATCATTTACAAATCAAAGTTTTCCATTATTAATCAGGACATTTACGTTACACAACTGCTCAGATAATGGCACGCGGTCCGCAATCGCGCTTTTCTGCAGGCGGTCAGCAGAATTTTGGGACGTGGCCGAACCTTCAGCGGGCGGCACTTCCTTTACGGTCATATATTCTGCCAGCGGGCAGCAATACAGCATTTTTTGCAAGCGCTCGGCAAATAAATTCTCTCAGCGAGCGCTGGCCAAACTTTCAGCAAGCGCTCGAACTTTTTATACGCGATTTCGGGCATACGCCGAGCAAAGGTGAGGACTCTATTTAGATAACGGGGGCAGGCGGCCATGCGGTCTATGTGCAAGCGGGCACCGGAAAAATAGTTCGCTGAATTGTCGTAGCCCGCACGTCAATGTCCGGGTATCCGCGCGCGGTTTTACTCGGGATCTGTTCAGAACAATCGCTGCTACTTTGCCAAATTTTTGCAGAACGCTCGCTTATTGGTCTCCGCTGATTCCATACCATCGCCCGCCCGCAGCCTTTTCAATGCGAAAACTCCATTTTATTGTGAGAATTTGAATGACAATTGGCAGCGCGACTGACTCGCTCTCGCTACGTTTTCGTAGATTGGCTGATGATTGTGGCTGAAAACAGCTCCCATTTCGGCGTAATGGTATCTGCACGCCAACAATACACATTTAATGAAAAAATTTTTTGGTGTTATCAAATAAAACCAAAATACCTAGAGATAAACCAGACAAGACAACTTGCTTCTGTTTTTATTAATAGTACGTTTGAAGCATTTGCCAGAAATCTCAAGACAGTACACAGGAAATGCGGACCATAGTCGACTAACGATAAGCTAGACGACTAGCCAATGATAAGCTTATTCGCAACTAGCTGGCAAACCCGGCTCCGCCCGGCCCTGTCATTATTATATTCGTAATCAGCATGCTCGATTACCCCCCTGTGCCAACTCCCAGCCCCGTAGCTCAAATTTTGCAAAAAATCGATAAAATCGATATCGATCGATAACGAAAAGTAGCCTATGACACGCTCCCTGCCCCGAAGTATATGTGTGCCAAGTTTGGTCCAAATCGGTTCAGAAATAAAAATTTCTATTCCGCACATATGTACAGACATACAGACAGACATACAGACATTCAGCTTTATATATAAGATTTTTATTCACGACTTTTGGCAGTAAAACTGCTCATAACTACTCCTACAAAGGCGGCCCCAAGTAGAAGGCAGATATGGAAGACAGTTTTGAAATCAGCGTTCTATGCTGCATCGAATGGTATGCCGCTTGCTTAGAGTGGCCAGTTCGACTTCCGATTATTCTCTTGTTAGTTTATTAAGCACTAGCTGGCTTACCCGGCTCCGCCGTATCCGGACCAAACTTGGCACACATACACTTCGGGCCCCGGCGGGTGTCACAGTCCACTTTTCGTTATCGATCGATGTCGATTTTACCGATTTTTATCGATTTTTTGGCAGAGTTCACCTACAGGGCTAGGAGTTGGCACAGGGGGGAAGTGAGCATGGGGATTCCGAATACAATATTAGTTTTCAGAATTATCGATTGCTTTTATTGATTTTATCGATTTTTTTGCAAAGTTTGAGCTACGGGGCTGGGAGTTGGCACAGGGGGGTAATCGAGCATGGGGATTCCGAATACAATATTGGTTTTCAGGATTATCGATTACTTTTATCGATTTTATCGATTTTTTTGCAAAGTTTGAGTTACGGGGCTGGGAGTTCGCACAGGGGGGTAATCGAGCATGGGGATTCCGAATACAATATTGGTTTTCAGGATTATCGATTACTTTTATCGATTTTATCGATTTTTTTGCAAAGTTTGAGCTACGGGGCTGGGAGTTCGCACAGGGGGGTAATCGAGCATGGGGATTCCGAATACAATATTGGTTTTCAGGATTATCGATTACTTTTATCGATTTTATCGATTTTTTTGCAAAGTTTGAGCTAGGGGGCTGGGAGTTGGCACAGGGGGGTAATCGAGCATGCTGATCATCCCCAAGGGGGGTGATCAGCATGCTCGAACACGTAATCGATAATCCTGAAAACCAATATTGTATTCGGAATCCCCATGCTCGATTACCCCCCTGTGCCAACTCCCAGCCCCGTAGCTCAAACTTTGCAAAAAAATCGATAAAATCGATAAAACTAATCGATAATCCTGAAAACCAATATTGTACTCGGAATCCCCATGCTCGATTACCCCCCTGTGCCAACTCTCAGCCCCGTAGGTGAACTCAGCAAAAAATCGATAAAAATCGATAAAATCGATATCGATCGATGACGAAAAGTAGCCTATGACACCCGCCGGGGACCGTAGTGTATGTGTGCCAAGTTTGGTCCGAATCGGTTCAGAAATGGAATTTTCTATTCGGAACATACGTACACACAGACATACAGACAGACAGACATACAGACAGACATACAGACAAACAGACATTCAGCTTTATATATAAGATAATAATTGCCTTCTACTAAAAAATGCTGAGTTTGCAAATGAAAATTAGAGTTGAGAAAAACGCGACGTCTGTATGCAAACAGATACCTAATTGAAGTTGCTTGTTTGAAAAAAGGTTCATTGTTAATAACATGAACTATGTCATGTGTATGTTTGTATCTATATGCAGCTACCAAAGAGATCTGTTAAAACACGAATGTAAGTGCATAGACCATCTCAGTAAGCCAGGAACCTAACAATATTTTGAAACCTTGATATGCACCTGCGTATTTGATCATATCCTTTAGCCGCTGGTATAAAAGCGAGTAGTTGATGTGAAACCATAATCCGTTCAGAGATGCTTCTGACTTTGGCTGTATTCGCGGTGGGTCACTAGCATTCCTATTTCAAGGATAATCGCTAAATAATGTGCTGGTGTCTTATGGTTTCATGACATTTCAGCTTGCGCAAGTAATCATGTCGTCAAAACCATTAGACGAATATAATTCTCAAGCAGTGGGAGGATTTATGTTTTACTTTCTCAATAACGACCGGCCCAGTTTGGACAAGGAGCCGGTAAGCCGTTTCTCTTTACTATTGCTCTAGACCAATTCAGTTTGCTGAGTAAACATCAGATTCAATAAACTGTTTTTATTAATTTCTTTGTTACAGGTACATGAGAAAAAATTCCAGAAAATTGCCAGTGTGCCGATCATTGTAAAGTGCGCGTTGAAACCTCGTTAATACCTTCGCAATGTGTGAATTTAGTAACACAGCTGAGATCACTTTGGAGTTTGCTGATGCACTTGCTTCTGCTGCGAGCCACGACATGATGGTAAAACAACAGCTTGATAAGGTGATGTAAAATATCAATTTCCATCTTTTCTAATTGACAAAAGCGCGCAGCGAGAAGCACGAGAGATACCCCAAAAAGTTGCGCGTCATTGGATGCAAGATAGGCCGCTGATTCAAAATTTGCTTATAATCTCCTTAGAATCTTCATAGGCGAAAATACCTTACCTCACCCTTTTGAAACATCTTGAACTTCTGAAAGTGTTCCAGCAGTTATTAAATAGCGGGACTTGTGTGTTCTCATTTGTAGATTAGAACAGCTTTGAGATTGCCAAAAACAACTTGAAGATTTTTTCGGGATTTGGCTGCCGTCGCGCTCTCTTTCCAAACATCCAGGGCTGCAATAACAATCTGCACATTGATTTGGCCTCAAATTCAACTATAAGTTTTGGATCCACATTTCGCACTTGCACTAAAAAGACATGTAAAGTTGTTTACGCTGATCTATCTTTGTAAAAAAATACATAAGAAGCGTTAAAGAATCTCCTCAACAAAGCCATAGGGTGATCAACCGTAATTTCGAGAGAGAAGCGGTGCACTTCATTCAAATAAGTATTGAAAATACTTATGTGGCCGTTCAACGAACCCAGTGGGTTCCAGAACCCACTGGGTAGGCTTAACCCACGAGATCGGTACTCACGAAGCTAGTGGGTTCGCGAACCCAGCAGCGCTTTTTGTGAATATCGATCCAACCTAGTGGCACTGTTTTCGCTTACCCAGTGGGTAGCGAAACCCACTGGGTTCGTTGATGAATACGGCCACTGCTTGTTCGCATTTTCCCTTTTCGTTTCGTATGCGTTATTGTTGGTTTTTCATTGCTTTCATTACATTTACGTAATCTTGCTTTTTTTGCCCTAAGTAAGCCATTTCTTCAACATATAGTACAAAAAAGGCAGTTATTGTCGAGCGCATGAGTAAAGCGTCCTCTAGCACATTAGTTTCTGTTGTTATCAGTTTGCGATATGAAACAGAGACATTGGAGCGTATTATCATGCGTTTCAATTTTTCTTTTAAAAGGAATTTGGTGCTCGACCACTGCCACTTAAGTATACTAAGATAGAAAAACCACTCACCACTCAGTTCCGCTTCTAGAAAAATAACAATATGTTCCTCTCCCTTTTTCCCCACCGTTTTTCATAATTCAATCACTTAGAAACCAACTCATATTTTGCAAAAAATTGGTAAACCCATTGAAACCATGGATGGTTTTTCAATTAGATAGCATTTTCGTAAGGGTTAGCAACCTGAGAAATTTTCAGCTTTCTAGCATGAAATTGCAGAAAATCTATAAATCTTTGATGCTTTTCGAAATTAACTTTGTAATCAACATAGCTTGTTTGCCAAAACTCAATAAGACTTTTTTCAAAGCTCTATGTTAGTTACATGGAAGGATAGAAGGAAACACCGCAGATTTGCAAGTAATTGTGCGAAAATCTTTACCTTACATTCTGGGTTTCTTTTCAAATTCTCAAACCTCTGATTTTAAATCTGCTGGACTGGAAAACAATATTTTGCAAGAAGTGACAGTCTTGTGGACAAACATTCACTTTCGTTAGCAACCGCTTCCAATGCTATAAGTTGTAAAAAAAATATGCACCACTGCTTATTAAGCAGGGCCTTCACGACAGAAATCCTAAAATGATTGATCCGAAACAAAGCAAGAGTTATAGTCTGACAGGCAATGACATTAGCAAAACTTTTACTTTGGATGGGCGGCTTTTCTGGGCGGATCTGGAGAAATCTTGGCAAGAAGGTTAACAACATAATTATTGAAATTCAGCACTGCGAGTCTACCGAGACACTGCGTTTATACACCATTAATCTTTCCTTTTCTTTAGATCAAAGATGGCAAGTCTCTCCATTATGGGTGCTATGATGAACCATTCGGAGAAGGTAGTACACAGCTCCGTATCACTTGCAATTTCAAAGCCGGAAGCAAACCTGACTCTTCCGAATCTGATGAATCAGAACCACAAGACAAAATTAATATCGAAGCAATGGGAGGATTTTACCTTTACTTTCATCGATACGACCAAGGCAGTTTCTCCAAGAATCCTGTAAGTCAGCTTTCGGCAATATTGCGTCAAGGCCAATTCACTGGCTGACCAGGGAAGGAAGGTTGGTCGAAGTGGCCTTTCAAAATGAGATGTATACTGTCTTGTAGAGCTTGGAAAGCTAATCCCAAATCTGTCTTCGCTATCTGCTGCGGGCTTTTGGGCGAGGAGTTACAAAGGTTTTTGTGAGTAAAAATCTGAATGCAAGACTAGGGTAAAATCATTCGTAACCTTTCCCCAAGGTTCAAATGAGGCAGCATCGAGTTGGTGCATTTGAATCAAGAATATTTGTTGCACCGAGTGACCCCACTACCAATTGAGTCCTATGAAAACTGTTACGACTGATTTTAGCCTACTCTTGAATTCAGATTTTTACTCACAAAAACCTTCATAACTCCTCGCCCAGAAGCCCGCAGCAGATATCGAAGGCAGAATTGGAATCAGCGTTCCAAGCTCTACAAGGCAGTATATATCCCATTTCAAAAGGCCACTTCGACCAACCTTCCTTTCCTTGTGAGTAAACAATCAAATTCGGTGGAATACTTTCATTACTTTCTGTTGTTTCAGGAACATGAAGAAAAATTCCAGAAAATTGCCAGTGTGTCGATCACGGTAACGTACGTGTTGAAATATCGTTAATACCTTCACAATGTATGAATTTAGGGACGTATATTCCATCACTACGGATCTTGGTAACGCACTTGCTGGCAGCTCCGACATGATGGTAAAACAACAGCTCAAAGAGGTGATCCAAAATACTAATTTTACCGTTCTAATTAACAAAAGCGCGCAGCCAGTGCGCGTCATTTCGTATGATATAATATCGCATGATATCTTATGATATATATCGTAATGATATAAGTGTCAAAAAAATATGCACCACTGCAGGACCAGGAAAAGGCCAAGTCTTGGAGTATTGTTAGGCTGAGACTTCGCAACAGAACTTCTAAAAGGATTGATCCAAAACAAAGCGTAATTATAATCTGAAAAGCAGGGTCATTAGCATAACTTCTACTTTGAAAGGGGTGATTTTTTTGGGCAGACCTGGAGAAATCGCTTGACAAGAGGGTTTGCAACATAATTATTGAAATTCAGCACTGCGAGTCTACCGAAACACTGCGTTTATACACCATTAATCTTTCCTTTTTTTAGATCAAAGATGGCAAGTCTCTCCATTATGGGTGCTATGGTCAAGAAATCGAAGAAGGTGATGTCAAAAAACACCGTGTCACTTGCAATTTTAAAGCCGGAAAAGCTAAAAAGCCTAAAAAGTCCGAGTGAGGAATGATAATTGTACTTATTACGTATTCATCTCGCGATGAAAGCTTGTTGTTGAAAAGTTACAATTTCTACAAGGAAGCCCTTTCTTTTTGTGAACTGACCTAGTCATTCACTATGAACTCATGCTTATTGGAAGCAAGTATACGTCAGAGTATCAATAATGTTTGACGCAAAAGCAAAAAAAACTTGGCAGCGTATAAGATGGTGATTGTAGCTTTGAAAATTTATGAAAGGACACTTATTGCGCGCTTCCCGTGCTATTAAAAACAGTTTGTCCAGAGATCGGCACGAAAGTGGCATGGACAGCTGTAAAACAATTCGTCTTTGCTACTTTCGATTTTCACGTTTTTTCACTAGATCGCGCCAGCTGCGTGGTCTTTAGATCAATTGGAGCACGCTTCCTTACGAGCCGGGTCGTTGCCATTATGAATCTTAAAAAGAGGATAGGAGGAGTTCTTGATATGTCACTGTTTATCAAACTTTGAGTGCCGAAAAGTATGTAAAAACTATGGGAAATTTATGTGAACCGAAAGTTCCGCCCTCTCCCCCTCCTCCTTCCCCCAGTCTGTCAATTACCACTGTGATTTGGAAAAAAAGTTGAGCATGTCCAGCCCCATCCGCATAAGTTTTCCACATAGTTCCACGATTAGTTTTTGATTACCGCTACTCGTGTAACTGCACAAAAATTTGAACTTCAAGGAGGGTATTATAGTAAAGAAAAAGCAAGTGGATAAGAGCATTCATTTGCAGTGCGGGCTTTCAAATTTTTTTCATTTCTCTCACCCGAAATTAAAGCAATTGGATACCGTTTTGAGGAGTGATGGTAGGCTAAATACGCCTTACCAAACAAGTCCATCAACGAGAACATAAATCGATAAAGTGTTCAGCATGCAGGACTAAAAGTGAGGAAGCCATATGGGCACACCTTCATTACTCTAGGGATAGGGCCCCAAGAGTGAAAGCTGTTTAAATACCCCCCCCCCCTTAATAAGTGAAAGGTGTTTACAGCAAATCAGCGAAGAGGTAAAGTTGCAAAACAGAGCAAGAGCGGAAAGAGCTTTCGAAAACTGGATATACAGGGTGTCCCAAAAAAATGTTAACACTGTTTGATCGTTAATAACTCCCTTGTTATCATGTCTTTCAGCGAGCTTGAGGCAACATTCTGTAGAGCGAGGTTCAGCTTAGATTTATAGTATGGAGCGAACAACCGCTCGCTCTTCATTACTGTAGGATTACGGTAGGAAATTCCAGCATGTGGAACCGTCGTGAAGTATGCCGTCTGACAAACTTTTTTTCAAAAAATCTGAAAAATCGTGTACTAGGGTTTTCGCTCACGCTGATTTTACTACACAACTTTTTACTAGTGTTTTCAGCTTTTTTGACGGTGTAATCACATTTTTGACACATGCTGGGAAGTCAGTTACTACACTTTACCTAGGATAACTTTGAAAAGAAGCATCGCAGTAAAGTGGAAATTTCATATTCGAAATCAGCGGCTTCCACTACCATAGTACAAGAGATTTTGGCTTGTTTGGCTCTGTTTCAAAGCAGAAAATGGCCTTTGATGGCCTAAAATTCTTGTCAAAATTCCTACCGTAATTCTACAGTAACGAGGAGAGTTAGATGATTCGCTCCATACTGCAAATCTAAGTTTATCCTCGCTCTACAGAATGGTACCTAAAGCTCGGCGAAATACTTGAAAGCAAGGGAGTTATTAACGATCAAACAGTGTTAAAATTTTTTTGGGACACCCTGTATCAGGCTGAGTGAGTTTGAAATTTTACATGGCGGCATTTCGAATTGCATGCTTTCGCTAGAATGTCCAGGCAATCCATATACGAGATGAAAGGAGGAGCTATTTTTCTTTTTATGATTATACCGAAAACACCATATTTCGTAAGTGATGATTATCAAGAAGAAAATAAACAAAAGAATTAGTTGTGAAAACGCAAAGTTTTCATGAGTAATCAGATGCACTTTTATGTAATTACTATAATTTATTTAGATAGAATATATCGCACAAGCGATGTGCTCTTATACAATCATAATTATGAACGAAAAAACTGCACTCGATCAAACTAGAAAAAATGCAGGCTTGGTGAAATTCTAGTTTTCGACTATAGCTTTCGGTTTTGATGCGATTTTGAATTTTTTACCCTCTTCTCGCAGTTTCTGTCTGGCGACGTCCTCAGTTTTATTGCGCTCATATTTCTGAGCAGGACGCTCCAAGCGTGTAGAAATGGTTGCTTAATAACTCTATTAAAGAGCTTTTGAACAAAAACGCAGCTTTTGGAGTTTTGTCAAATGATGTATGAAAAGAAGAAAACTAAATGAAAATACTTTCGCAAACTTTAGGGTACAGCTTAACTGGTTAGCAGCTGCAGTTCTTCAGCTAATTCGGAAGAAAGTTGGCACTGTTTTTTCCATTTATACAAATTTTATGGAATTTGTACCCATAATTCGAGTCTCATGCGCATGTGCATACCAAATATGAGGTCACATCACTTCGTTTTGATTGCATTACAAGGCATTTGTTTGTTAGTGTCACAATGTGATTCGCGCTGTGTCCTGTTTGCATGCAAGTGATGCCCCGATCCTGACTGTGTGAAACGGTCAAACTGTTCTAAATGGTTTCTGAATTAGGACCTTTTCTGATTTCCTCTAAGGCCTCGGAAGAGTTTACGCGATTTGATCGTCGCGATCAATCGCCGCGATTTCCATTCATTTTCATTTTACATTCAAAAATTTCTGGCTGAAAAAGTATCACAACCAAAATGCAAGCTAGTCGGCATGCACTGAACTCGTAACAGTTGTCTTGTCGCGATTGAACCGACGATCAAATCGCGTGCACTCTGTCCGAGGTCTAATGGAAGCGTGTTTAGTCAAAGTGGCCTTCTCACATGTCACCTATATCACTTTGTAGAGCATTGAACAGTGACTCTAAATCCATTTTCTTTATTTGCCAAGTACCTCTGGAAGCCGAGTTATGAGCGTGTTTTATGTCGAAAAATTGAATGCACAACTGAGACAAAATCGTCCAGAATTGCTCAAATGGTCAGGTGATAATTGTCAAACCACTTCATTCTATAAATATCTTCTATCTAGTAAACTCACATTTAGCACTGCTCTTCTTGTTGAGAGCAGAGAAGATTGTGATCATTGTTTTTGCATAGATTTGCTTCATTTTTTGCTCAAAAAACATATTTAACTCTACGTCTAGAAGCGCTTGGCAGACATTAGAAGCATATCTGATATTCGTTGTAGTTCTTGTTTTCGTATAAACATATTCGTTCCATTTTTAAACTGATATAAGCCTCAACTGGAAAGACCACTTCGATTAAGCACGCTTTCCTTGTTAGTTCCAAAAAGTTCTTTACGAAAAACGATATTTTCCTTATTTCTGAAACTGAGGCATTCTGATTGAGTGCTTGTAAGCTTCGGCAATTATCTCAGAGCTCCTCATATGACTCGGGAGTATAGTGCTGTAAATAGGGAATATTTTGCATCAGATACTGCTCAAAGTATTCGTTCATCTATGATTCGACGGAATTTTAGGATTTTACAAACGATTTCACGAATTTTTTATGTATCAGACTCTGCAATCTGATACATAAAAAACTGATTCTTGAATTGCTATATTGCTTTTCAAATGTTACTGCGATTGCCAACGGTTTACGGTCTACGGTTTTCTAATCTGTGGTCCAAGAGTGAGCTGTGTCAACTTCACAGCAGAAAGACATCAGAAAATGATTTTGGAAGTACTACTTTTTGCTGCCTTTTGGACAAAATGTCGCCATGAACAAATGTAATGCAAAGTCGAAAAGGATACCAGCCGATATTGCCGTAAATGGTCGATTTCCATTAAATTTCAGTCATAATATAACTCCTGCTTATAATCAAACTCAGCAGTTTCTCAGTTTACGATTTTTCTACGAAGGATTTTGGAGGTACATAGGTATTGGGTTTTCCCGTATGTTTTCTTACGTTGATTAGAACTTGTTAGATTCAAACATTTGGTAAGACTGAAAGTGACCATCGGAAAGAGCAAAGCAAGGCTTTCCAGCTGGCGTTCAAAACTTCGCGCCAGTTTGAGTCACATCACAGTTCAAGCGAAGATTTCAAGTTGTGGAATTGACCGAAGAATTAAATTTCTTTTGTTTTGTTGTTGAACTGCGGCCAAGATTGGTATGGCAACAATTTATTATTCGGCTTACGTTTCGGCGCCAACGCCGTCATCAGAGCCCGTAACCAAAAACGTATGTGTGGAGTACTTTCTGAACTTTCATTACCGTAATGATTCCAACTGATTTGAGCACGAGACCAGCAAAGAGCTAGAGTATGCTTTATCTTATTCGACGTCAGTCGAGGGATTTGACCGCTCGTGGTCAAGCTGTGCAGAATGTGATGGTACTTTGTTCTCCATGCTGTTTATACTTTGGTAACCGCAAAGGCTTTGATACGATGATAACTCTTTGATTACGGTAATGAACTCGTCCTTTTTATTCATTTTGGGGTTTCGTGACGTAATCCAAAATGCTTAGTGTCTTGCGTGGGATAGTATCTTGTTCGTATGACAAGATTGTGGCAGCAATATCAAACGATATGTTATCGTGCGACACTCTGCAATGTGCACTTAGAGGAGTGGATGCTTTGTATTTGCGAGTCCAACCAAGTGCTATTTGATCCGTAGACACAATGGTCGCGCCCCGTCTCACCCACATATTCTAGACCCCACACTCGACAGGTAATGAGATAGACGACCCCGCATTTTACGCAATCACCTGGTCTTCCAAAGGGACATATTACGCAATTTGATGTTGAGCAAATGCTGTCATATGCGCGATTGCAAATTGACTGTTTCTTAAGATTGGGAGGAGAAATGTCTACAATCCGTACATAGTCTTGCGCCTGCTTGGTGTAAACTCCTCTCAACAGCTTTGTTAAAGTCGTCTGCTACGAAAGGTATGAAGGAGATTTTTTTGGGTGTCTTTCTCATGCGG